CCTAAGAATTTAAGGAGTGGTTTTTTTCAGGATTATTTTTGGAGGCTCTTATTTGCCGCATGCTATTTGTGTCCCTTCTGTCTGGACACGTAAGGGACAGTGACTTTGGAAGCAGCTTCCTTTGTGGGGCTGAAGGATGTGGGTGCTTAAGAACCCCCCCGAGCTGTGCAGATGGTGTGACCAAACACCCCTTTTCTTGCAAATCCTGCCTCTTTTAGACAATCCTGCCACTTCCACGCACAGAGGGCAGCCTGCTGCTGGGAGCAAGGGGTTTCCCTGCTCAGGACATCCCACTGCCAGTGCACGTGTGCAGGAGAGATGGGCAGAGTGGCTGCAGGGCTGGGGCTCAGCACAGGAGGAGCAGGAACTCTGCCCACCTTCCCTGGGAAGCTCCCAGCCCGAGGATGGTGCCACACCACATCACTGCTGACAGTTCCCTGAGCAGATTCCTTCCATGGGTAATTAGCCTTTGCAGAGCATGAATGGACTAGTTTTCCATCGGGAGACTGAATTTTAGCTGACAAATTAGACAGATTCCCCGAGGCCAGAGTTATGCGGCTTTGCCAGTCTCACTAAAAATGTGATTTATAACAGATTCCTCGGCAGAGGCACTCCTTGCTTCAGGAATGAAGATGCACACCGTGCTCAGACTCTCTGTCTAACATGATGGTCTTACAAAGCTTTGTCTTCTGCTAGAAAAAACTGACTCTGTTACCTGCTTTTGATTTATCAAGTGACTCCACATTTCTCCCACTGAACATGACAGTGCTGAGTCCTGGGTAACAAAAATGATGGGCAAGGGGAAGGGGGAAGAGAGAAGTCAGATCCCAGACTCAGTTCCTGCCAACCGAGGCTCCCCCTCTGACTCACCACTGGGTTTTCTCCTGGTTTCCCCGTCCGGTGAAACCAGTATTTGTATTCCGTGAATATCGGCACTTGCTCAGATCAAAAAGCAGGCTCGCCCTTCCCTGGCAGTGTCTTGAACATGTCTGTGTTTGCAGGGCATTAATAGTTAATATTTTAATTATTAATTTAGAGCAGTAACTGCCTGCTGTGTTCCTGAGGAACGAGGCACACCCAGACTGGTGAGTTCTGGGGGAGGCTGATGGAGCCCACGGAGCTGAGATCTGGCAGGTGGGTGACGTGAGGCACACAGAGACACGGGGCTGGTTGTGCTTGGATGGGTTTGGGGCTTTAGGAGGACATCGAACAGGTGACCAGATGGACAATCCCCTCCTTCAAAATCTGCTTTTATCTCCGGGGGAGCTGGGGTATTTATAGCTCCAAAGCACTCTTACTCCCAGTCATTAAAGAGTGTGGGATTTTTAAATTTAGAAGCCTGTCATAGAAATACAAGTAATTACTTTTGCAGAGGCTGAATCTTATATTCAGGAAATGCAGAAAGAAAGCATCTAATTTCGTTTATTTTTATATTATTATTATTAAATTAATAATCTATCACTTTAGTCTATTGACATGACCTTGTGGGAAAAAGTCATATAAACATGAATGGACAAAAGTTTCCTTCAGATACATAATTAGATTTTTTTTTTTTGGCCACACTGTACATACTGGTTTAAAAGAAACATAATTTTCTTTTTTTTTTTTTTTTTCAGGTCCACAGGTATGACAGGAAGGTTTCATCAGATATTTCTTCAGTGCATTAAGGTTTGGAAATTAAAAGGCAATAAAATATCCCCATATCCACGAACCTTCTGAAACCTTCTAGAGATGTTATTTTAATAGCAATAATTCTTCCTTTTTTTAAAGCTTAGGTTGTGTGTGTCTTTCAAAGGAATATTAAGCTGGCATAGGACAATTCTAAGAAAATGAGTTCTGAGATTTTTAACTAGAACTTCACGAGCTTTGTAGGATAATATTAAAATGAATGCTCACAATTTTCAGCACCCCTTTCTCCCAAGTATTTAAACTTTTCTTACAGCTGCAAAAATTAACAGAGACCTGGAGAAAGAGATTCTACAGAATTGAAGTTTAGCTCTTTATTTCTCAGATCTGTATCTGTCAGTCTAACAGCTGGGTATATTTTGTCCTGAGAGACAACAGATAATGTATGTGGCAACTTCTAGTTACTGATAGTATCTTCCCAAATATTATTCCTTAAGGTGACATAAGAGTGGCTTTCAGAAATGCTGCAAAAGCAAACTTTGTAGATATTTGTTTCTTAACATGAAGATACCAATCCCAGGCCCGCTGCACTCATTGTACAAAGCTTATCTGCTGAATAAGTATTGTAGGTACAGAAAACCTTCCAAAGTCTTGGGTTATTCTGATTCAGAATCCTTGTGATTATCCTGAGTTGAGAGGGACCCTTCTCCTGTGATTTTAGTGTACAATAAAGATGAGTAGATTAACTCACTATTTTATATTTCACAAACGGAATTAATAAATTCAATGAACTCACACCTCCAGTGGATAAATGAACTCTGCAGGCGGATGATTTCAGGCTGAGTTCTGCTGCCCACTGTTTTACCTCCACTAGATGTCAGGCTGCCGACAGAGCTGGAGGCTTTAATCCCTATGTCACAGTAAGGAGCATGGTCAGGATCACAGCTACAATTCTCCACTTCCAGTCACCAGCAGTAACTCAAAATAGGAGATACTCTGAGTCACTATATTGGTTTTGTTTGTTCTTCCCTCTTTTAGCCTTTGTCTTCTCCCTTCAGCAAATTTCTCAGCATTGACAAGGTCCAGCACTGCTGATAAATGGGAGAAGGGCCGAGTAACACGGGATTCCCTGGGGGCATTTCCCTTTGCTCATCCATTCAAGAGGGGCCAGGCTTGACACATCTATTAGGGAAGAATACAGAACTTGTGAGTTCCTCGAAAATATTCAAGCACATGCCTTTTTACTCCCCGACAGCAACCAGGTGGTGAGGAGCTTTTTGGCTATTTCTGCTTCTTAGTAGGGATCTTTATTTTTATTTTCTGGTAAGAACATATAATTTCAGAATGCATTCCCATCTCTCAAGTGGTATCTTTATCAGACCTCTCCAGGAGCCAGGCTGGACAGCAGGTGAATTAAATTTCCCAAGCAACAACTGTGCAGCAGACAGCATTTCATCCATGCTTCTTGGAAGACACCACTTGTTTCCAAGACAAAGGTGTAAGTGCCTTGAAAATCCCCTCTGAGGCCTTGCAGCTTTGCTTTCCAGACGAGTTCTTTCTGATGAAGAATTAACTTTATTTCTGATGTTACATAACAAAGGGGTGACATGTACACCCCAGCATCAAATGCAACTGCTCTTTTATGGCCCTCGGACACACATGTAACATCTCATCTGAAGCTAAATAATCTCTGGAGCTGGCTTTGGACTGCCATAGCTATTCCTGGGTTTAAGACAGCCTGCAGTATCCACTTCATATTCTTCATTGATACTGAAAACATCAAAAAAAACTTAAAAGCTTGTTTGTGTTCCACCTCTGGCGGTTAAAAAGACGGTGCTACCTCCTCTCAGATCCGCTCTTCCTCATCTAAATACAGGTGTTCAGAGTTCCTGACAAAGGAACGATTCTTGTTTTGCCCAGTGTAAGCGTGAAGCTGAGGGCTGGCACGAGGGTAGGGGCTCACTGCTCAACAACAAAGGCTAATCAAAAGCATTTCTCCAAGTGAATCAACCAATTTCCCTGGATCTTATTAAATACTAGAACAAAAATAAAAGCATTTGGTCTACAGCTTCAAAGCGCTGTGGCCCAAGTAATACTTAATTTAACACAGACCCCAAATAAGAGTTGGAAAACTAATATTTATGCCGGAAATAGAACGTGCCGCGGGATTTGCTCTTTACTGTAAAGTAACTTTTTCCAGAGCCCAAATTTTATCTTCTGCTGAAAGCTGCCCCCAGTAAAGAAAGGGCAAGGCCAATATATACGTTGTGATGATGAGTGGCCATCTCTTAGCCTTTGAGATGGGACAGATTCACAGCCTTTGACCTGCTTTGCCTCCTGCAGAGCCAGCATTTGCTCTGTCTTCCAGAGTCTCTGCTGGGATGGATCTTTCTCTGTGTCCAGATTCAAACACCACTGCCTCAAGAGTCTGGTCTACCTCTTAATTTGATGGAGAATTCTTAAAAATAAATTCTGCATAATTTTATTTTCAGATGGAATAGTTAGATCTCGGTGGACTGTTTTCCTTCTTGCAGTCCTCTAAATCTCTGCTAAGAAAAATGAATGTTATTTAGACTGTAAGCTCTTTGGGGGGAAAGCTGGATTTTTAAGGGATCTGTGTGTGTGCACAGAACTGGGCAGATCGGATGAGCTTGAGGTACAACACCTATGAGTTATAGCGTTTGGTCATAATTAAGTCTTTTTACTCCTGGAAAGCTTGATATTCCCCCCCCCACACACACACAGGTATATAGGTTAACTTTTTATATACTTGTTTAGAACAAGCTGAACTGTATTTAAAAAAAAATAAATATTACTCGTTGAAAATGAGTAATGAAACATTTATTGTTGTTGCTGCTGGTTAATACTTTAACACTTAAAGCAAATTAATGTCACAGAATCACAGGATCAGAAGAATGGATTGGGTGGGGAGAGAGCTTAAAAATCACAGAATTACAGAATAGGTTGAGCTGGAAGGAAGGCCGCAGCATCATCGAGTCCAGCTCCTCGTTTAGTCCCACCAGCGGGCAGGGACACTTGAAGATACTAAGCGAGATGTAATTACTCGCGTAATTTACGAATTTTTGTATGTATTTTAGTGTTTGTTCAGGGGCCATTTTGCCGCCGGCCCCGCAGAGACCATCCCGCCCGGCGGGCGGCACGGCCGCCATCCGCCTCACGGCCGGGGCGGAGCGGGGACATGGCGGGGGCGGAGCGGGCCGGGCCGGGCCATGGAGAGGGCGGAGCGAGCCGGGCTATGAAGGAGGCGGAGCGGGGCCATGGAAGGAGGCGGAGCGGGGCCGTGGAAGGAGGCGGAGCGGGGACGTGGAAGGAGGCGGAGCTGGGCTATGGAAGGGGTGGAGCGGGGCCGGGCCGTGATGGCGGCGGCCGGAGAGGCGGCGCTGGGCTCGGCCCGCCTGGAGAGCGTGCGGGCGCTGTCGGGGCTGCTCCGGGAGCCGCGGCGCAGGTAGCGGGGGGGGGGCGGCGGTGCCGGCAGAGGGTCCCCGAGGCGGCCCGGCCCGGCCCGGCCCAGCCCCGGGCGGAGCCGGCAAAAGGGGGCTCGGTGGCCGCAGGAAGCTCCGCCGCGGAACACCTGCACACCCCCGGCTTCCCCGGGGCCGGGCCGGGCGCTCACACGGCCTGCACTGACCGCCGGCTCCTGCCAAAGGCAGGGGGGGCTGAGATGGATCCGTTCCATGCGGTAGTCCGACACACGGCGTAGGCTGAAAGAAAGGAAACCGCAGCGAATCCGCCGCGTTTTGCCACTGTAGAGCAGCAGCAGCAGTGTCTAAGGATGTAGCTGCCTCACACATCGCTCTGCTCGATGGAGAAAACACACTTGTGCGTTTTATGGGACGCCTGGGGACTCCTGCCGAGCGTGGCTCCTCTGCCAGAAACACGTGTCCAGGGCTGCATTCCCGTGGGAACAGCTGCCCCAGCCACGGAGCAGTGTTTTGGCACGTCAGGAAGTGGCGGGAGCTGCACCACTTCTTGCGAGTTGGAAGGTTCCAGTTCCACGAATGTATTTTATGTCCTGAAACAAAACCAAAATTCCAGACCTTTCTCGTTATGCAAGCTCCACCTTTCTGATTGTGGCTGAGGGCCAGCTCTGGTTTTGGGCTTTGCTGTGCCACTTTGGTACTTCACCCCCAGTACTGCACCAGTGTAAAATGTAGTTATCCCCCCCCATAATCCTCCGTGATGCTGTGGTGGGTTTTTAAATATTTTAATGTAGATGGAGAATGTGTAAGTGTATTGTTCTTGATGAGCTCTGAGACTGCAGAATGAAATACATACTCCCCCGGGGATCTGAAATCCAAGGTTGTAGCAATTTAGGGCTGTTAATGTGCGCTGTTTTGTGTCTTCCAGTCCATGTGCTCTCCCTTCTCTTTAAGTTTCCTGCACACCCTGACAGCCCTCAATGTTGATGCACTGTGCTGCCAGTAAGATACAGACAAACAGCAGTGTCACTCTTGGAGCAACAGGTCTTATAAGGGACTTAGAAAATGTGAACAGTGAGTGAAGACTAAGAGAATGAGTTTTGGTTAGTCTAGGAAAGAAAACATGACAGCAGCAGAGGTGAGAAATGCTGTCTCCAGACATGTCTAAGGGATTATAGATAAGGTGTGTATGGACATGGTGGAGTTGGCAGGGTTGGACTCGATCTTATGGGTCTTTTCCAACCTCAGTGATTCTGTGGTTTGATTTATGGACGTGATCACTTATGAAAGAGGAGGCAGAATTTCTAATTGCGTGAATGCTTAGACATTTGAGTGAGCAGCAGAACACAGGTAATACTGTATCATCTACAAGTGTTTGATCAAGAAAGTTTTAAATTCGCCTTTAGGGAGAGTTTTCTGTGTGAGCATTTTATTTAATGCTGCTTTATTGATCTCATTTCACTTTCTTCTGTTTGACCTTGACTACACAATAAATCTCTTTAAAGTTCAGGGAGGCTGCATCTGGATTTCCTTTTCTGACCCTGTCAGAAGTATTGGATGAGCAAATTGACTGAACTTCCTTTAGCAATGCCATGAACTCTGGTGTGGCTCCTCTTCACCAGCATGTGATATCAGAGATAGCAGTGTGTGTCATGTGTTTAACTCATCTCCATTCCAGTTGAAGTCGATGATTCTTGTGGCTTCTTCCAACTCAGGATGTTCATGTTACTGTGATCTAATGCTGGACACCTGAACTGTGTTAATTAATTAAAGCATCTCCTCTTAAAGCAACATGCAGTGTCATGTGTAAACAAGCCAGCTGTGTGCACTGGGGAGACTTTTTCCTTTTCATTAAAATTTCAAAGAGCTGTTGAAAAGTCATGGGGAGTACTAAGGGAATGAAACTCTTCTACAGCCCCTTTTCTGAAAACGCTGGTGGGATGATTGTGTGATGTATTTTCCTCTTTCTACTTGAAAGACTCTGTACACTATGAATAGTTAAAGGTTGTTGCAGAAACATCTTCGGGTTTACAGTAAGAAGTGTCACTGCCAGAGGCTTTTTGGCAGCAGTGCATTTTTTTTTTCTCTTTTTCACTGCAAATTTATCCATTTCAGAGAAATGGCAGAAGAAAGTGTATTTCGGGATCTCCTGGAAATCCTGACAAGTGCCTCACGTGCCATTGAGCAGATCTGCAAGGACTCCTGTGGGCAGGCAGATCTGGACAGCTGCCTGCTGCTCGTAGCTGAGTGCTTCAGGTGCCTGAGGAATGCCTGTGTGGAGTGTGCCAGGAACCAGCACCTCATGAGGTACAGTTAACCCGTGAAAAATCACCACCTTCTGATGTTTTGTGTGCTTTCGTACAGAGATTATTATTTGACACTGCTACGTTAGTTGATTTATTAACTGACGTTTTCTGCTTGATACAATCACTTGAAATCAGATATTCAAGAAACAAAAATAGCTGCCCATTTGTAGGTCAGAGTTTGGGGTCCTCCTCAATAATGGAACAAGGGTCTTGGTCCTTAATACAAGTTGATGATGCAAATGAAATAAGCTGTTGGAAGGCTGACTCTATAAATACCCTTTTTTTCCTCTTTTTTCAATTTTTTTGATAACATAATGAATGAGTAAATAATCTTAATTATCAGTTACAGGAGTAGTATGTCTTTTAAGGTACATTTAGATCTGTCTGGCCCTCATGGCAAAGGACAGCATGTAGAACTTGTGCATATTAACCCTGATACGTGCCCAGGCAAACTGATATTAATGGAGGAAAAGTCAATCTGGCTCCTTAAGTTATTTAGACTCTCTTTTTTTTTTTGCCTATGTCTCTTGCAGCATTGCAGGGGTCCTTGGGATACAACCAGCTGTAGTTAGTGAAAACCTAGTAGTCTGGCTGCTATTTTTTAAAACCCCAGCAAAACAGCAACGCTCTCCCTGCCCCAATCCTCCCCAAGAACCTCAAACCAACTGACCAAAAAAAAAAAAAAAAACCAACCCAAAGGCCTGTTACAAGTTTGTTGGATCACAAAGAATTACTTTGGATTACAGTCTGCAAATTTGGCTTCTTGGGACTTGTCAAATTTGATTTATTGAACTAAATGTAATTTTGCCCTGGGACCAAATCGTAGCTTCTGTGCTGGGGCAGAGTTTTGTTAACGCCACAAAAGTTGCAACGCAAACCATTCTGAGATGGCACCTATGATTCCTCCTCACTGGAGGAAGGATAAATGCTTACTTGACCTTCTCTGCTTCCCTCTGAGAGTTGTGTATTTGAGCTGGCCCCACTGGTTTTTGATGGTGTCACAAACTGCTTTGTTGGCATTGAAAAGCCTCCAAGTTTATTACAAAGTGATGTACGTGACTCTTTCCCTGGACGCTTGACCTTCAGACAAAGCAAAGTTTTTACACAAGTAAAGCTGTTCAAATTACAGGAATAACTTGCTAATTTTTAACATCTGGTTAGAAGAATAGCAAAAAAGAGAGGAAAGGGTACTTAGCTCTGAAGGTACTGTATCCAGAATTGTTAGAATGCAGGCTGATGCTGTAAAGCCCTTTGATTTGCTTCTGGTGGCAGTAGTGTGGCTACTGAGAGGAGAAACTGGTTTTTATTTCGGAGATCCTGAAGAGGCTAAAGGTTTGCTGTTAACTTTGGGGAAAAGCCTCTTAATTTTATTTGAGTGTATTCAGCAAATTGTTATTTTTTTTTCTCAATTTAAAAATAGGAACTTGGGCCTCATCTCTACATCTGTCCATTTGATCAAATTGCTTCATGGAATGCAAGCCAAAGAAGAATTATTATTGCCTGGTAAGGCTGGGGGTTTTGTTAAAGGTATAGCCTGTACTATATTTTTTTTGTATGTGGGAGGTGTGATGTCACTTTACTCATGTGTTTGTTTGATAAAGGTGAATTGTTTCTTCAGTTGTAGTTAAGAATTGGGGGGAGCCTTCTTACACTGCTTGAAAAAAATCTTGACCTCAAGTCTAGTCCAGTTGTATTTTCCATGAACTGTTCCCTGTAGATTGTTAAAGGAAAGATATGTGGAAACTCTTTAAAATGAGCCAGGATTGCAAAAATGAAAAGTTCTTGTAGTACCTCCATTCAAAATATGTTCTGCCGGTTTACTTTCTTTTTATTCCATGTGCAAATCTAGTGAAATGATTTTTTTTTTTTTTTGATGATACTTGAAGTAATTTATCTGATTCCAGGAAGCAGATTGTGGCTGTGACTTTTTAAAAATGATTTTTAAACTTTGTGCGCGATGGTTGCTGGCCAGTCAGGATGATACCTGCCAAGAATTAAGTGCTGATTTGAGTAGTGTTCGCGTTTCCTTAACGGGTGAGTGTTTTCTTTCTGTGCAGTGAAGGGAAAATGTGACTACAGAGCCCTTCCTCACTAGTGGTAGTTACTGCTGCTGATTTCTCCCAAACTCATTTCACTGGATTAAGGCATTTCCAGAGAGTGATGAGGAACATTTGGTTTGTCTTGCCACTTTTATTTCTTTTCATTCCCATTCCTTGGATGAAGTTTTCCCTGGGTTCCCGCTCCTGCTTTTGTATCATTTTGTGGCAGCAAGTGAAACAGCTGTCCTAAGTACCTTGCCCTCAAACACCTTTCTGCAGCTGGGGGGAGCAGCGGGTCCAGGACACTGGGTTTCCTTTTGCTGCCGTGTTTGGCTCAAAACGAAGCCTTCCAGGCACACGAGGGTTTGTGCTGAAGCCAGGGTCACTCCTGCACCCGTTGCTGGAATCCTGCTGCCAGGGAAGGGGCAGTGGTGCCAGCATGGCCCTTCGGTGTGGGGGGGCCAGAACTATAAGCCCTGTGGGTGGCTAAAAGAGGGCTTGCTCAGTGGCCAAGAAGAGGGGGAACTGATGGCACCCAGGAGTGACTTTCAAGCCTTGTCACAGGAGGACTGGGAACTCCTTTGTAGACCAGTGAGATAAAAGTGATGGAGCTGGAATGCTGCTTTTGTCCAGCCTGATGCTGTCCCTGTTGGGGCCCTGGACAGCAGAGGGTCCCAAAAGGGTCCTGGGGAGGTGGGCTCAGAGGGTATGCCCAGCAGCTGCAGGAGAGGGAGCGGAATTCTAGACAAACAAGTGTTGCTAATTCCTTGCTGAGTGATCTGATGATCTTTGTTCTAAGTGGAAAGTGGTGCCTGGAGCACCAGCTCCTTCTGCAGGGGATTCCTCAGAAGGGAACAGTTCAGTTTGACTGGGGATTACTAGTCGTAGTGTCAAAAGCAAAGCAAATTGCTAAACTGGGCTTGGATAGCACTGTTGAAACAAAGGAAACCCATGAAATTAGTAAATGGTGCTGTGTTTATTAACTGTAATTCTGCTTCATGATTCCCTCATGTTTCATATAGGCTAGAGTAGCATGTGTATTTTGTTCTAGCAGATAATTAGGTGTAAAGTGGAGTATTTCAAGTTGTTCACTTGGATATGTGTCCTGTTTCCTCCCTCAAATGGCTGCTTGGATTGGATGATCCCTCTTGATGCCTGTTTATATCTTCAGGTTTTTTAAAATACCTTCTTCATATTGCTTCCACAGCAACAAAATAGAAGGAGAAAGAGGCAATGCTGTACTGCAGAGGGAACAGCACTAATGGTGTTTCAGCCCGTGTTCCTTTGAAAAATTCCCAGAGCAAATCATTGTTGGCTGAGTAAATATGAGGTTCCAGCATTATTGTATTGATGAAGATGAGACTGAAAATTCTTCCTGCAGACTGAAAAATTGATTTAACCTGATCTGTGGTATGTTTGCACTCTTATCCACTGGAAAGTGTGTAAGTCTGAGTGGTGTGGTAATTTTTGTAGGAAGGTTCAGGGTAGTACAATTTGAAATGGATAAAAGCAGAAATGAAATAACGTAACATATTCTGTGACCACCACTGTGACCAGTGTGGTGGTTCTGAGGGAGGGGCTGTGATCAAAGCAGCCAAAAAAGGAGGTGATGTGCAAAGTAGTGTGACTAAAAACTGTTGCTAGCAGTTATTCAATTAAATCCAGAATCCTCTGCATCTTCTCTGCTAGAAGAAATACTTTTAAAATAGTTTATATTAGGCCCAGGTGTTATGTATGTGGTTAATTGGGCTCTTCACTTCAGTATATTTACTGAAACAACTCTACTGTGAGTTTTCAGCTTATATCTTTCTTTTTTTTCCTTTCTTAACGGTACCAGAAAAATTCCTGTGTGCTTGTAAAGTACTTGTCCCAGTCAGCCATGGACAAAGCTGTTGTTTTGAGTACATGATAAGGCAGTGGGCCAGAAAACTTGAAGGTGAGTTGGAGTGCCTGTCCTGAAATAGCTCTTTAAGGCTTCAGATAGGTTTAAAAATAAATAGTTAATTTTTACATATGGCTTCTAAGGGTTGTCCAGTCCCACCTGCGAGCCAGCTGACCCTGTAATAATAGTCTCCTTTCCTTTTCATACTCACATTAAAAAAACCCAAACAGTTTTAGGCCTTTCCCATAAGGTGTTGCTGCAGTTGGCTGTTGGTCCCCTCTCTTTCTCCCAGCTTCCTTCCCAGGTTAGTCTGAATTGCATTCCACAGCCTCGTGTCTCTTCTCATAATTGCTCCCAGTACATAGCAGGAATCTGTCTTGAGCAATTTTTTACTGCCTGGAGGGGGGACCCTGCTCTAAGGAGTTGCACAGTGAACCCAACAGCTGGATGAGTGCAGAGGGTTCAGAGAATCATGGAATGATTAGGATTGAAAAAGCCCTCCCAGCCCATGGAGCCCACCTTGTGCCCAGCCCAGAGCACTGAGTGCCACGGCCAGGCCTGACCTGACCCTCCCCCTGGCACAGCTTGAGGCTGCTTCATCTTGTCCCTTGTTCCCTGGGAGCAGAGATACTCAATTTTTTACTTTAGGTCATAGGGAAAAAACGAAGTCTCTGCAGAATGTAGATTTAGTGAATTTTCACAGTACTCTCACCGCATCCCTTTTGTTTTAGTTACTTTTTTAATTGAAAAAAGAAAAGTCTCCTCATAACTACCTTTTTTTTTCCTTCCTGCTCTGGGTACCAAGGTAAAAAGCACTTGCCAGAGGAGTAGCTGATGAAGCTGCCAGATGAACTTTATCTGAACTTAAAACAGACCTACATCTCTTAAGAGCTAAGAAGTAGTTCAGTGTGTTTGGGATTGCAGCAGACATAGGAAATATCCTTGTCAGAAGCCCAAGTAGAAAATCTCCTTCACTTCATTGCATGTGTCTTGTGGGGTTAGGTTTGTTTTTCCTTTTTTCCTATGGCAAATTCTAAGCTTTCCAGCAGAATCCAGCAGAACTTTAGGAAGGTACATTGAGGTTTGTCAAGATGATGGATCTTTAAATTCTAGAGTGAGAGATCTGGATTTAGGATTCACCTCTGAAATCTGGAAAAAAAAAAAGGAAAAGATAGTAAGTTGCAAGGGAAGGCATGTGTGTTTTGCAGCAAACTTATGTTCTATAGGCATGTCCCATTTGATCCTCATTTATTTCCACTCCAGCTTGGACACAGGAGCTTTAATCTTTTTGTTTGTAAACAGATCTCAAACCTTTCACCGCCTCAAAATACTACCTTGCTGAAGAATGTGCCTTGAATTCCAATGTAATTGCTTAAAAAACGTTTCACCTGCCAAAATACTTTCCTGCCCTCTCAGATGAAAAGGCACTGAGTGCCTGATAGCTGCCCTGTGTGAGACAATTTGTTGTGCAAGTTCTCTGAATGAGGTGATTGTCCTCTTTGAGCAGAACTGAGCTCTCTGTGTGTGCCTTCGAGGCGCTCTGAGCACGGCTCCAGCATTCCAAACTTCCAGGCTCCTGGGGATACTGAGCTTGTTTTAAACCGAGTAGCACAGGTGGTGGTGGTGGTGTGCTGTGCTGACACCGTGGCCCTGAAGTTTTGGGTTTTAACCAACCAGGGTAAGCTGCCTCAAAATGTGTTTATGGGGGAACCCCAGAATCATTGGAAAAGCACTCCCAGGTTATCCAGTGCCCAGTGCCCACCTTGCCCCCCAGCCCAGAGCACTGAGTGCCACATCCAGTCCTTCCTTGGACACCTCCAGGGGTGGGGATTCCCCCACCTCCCTGGACAGCCCCTGCCAGTGCCTGAACAGCCTTTCCAGCAAGAAATTCCTCCTCATGTCCAACCTGACCCGCCCCTGGCACAGCTTGAGGGTGTTTCTTCTCCTCCTGTCCCTTGTTCCCTGGGAGCAGAGCCTGACACCTCCCCCCAGGCTCTCCCCTCCTGTCAGGGAGTTGCAGAGCCAGAAGGTCCCCCCTGAACCTCTTTTTCTCCAGGCTGAGCCCCCCCAGCTCCCTCAGCCGCTCCTGCTGCTCCAGCCCCTTCCCCAGCTTTGTTCCCTTCCCTGGGCACGCTCCAGCCCCTCACTGTCTTTTATGAGAGACCCAGAACTGGACACAGCATGGGGGCACAATCCCTGCCCTGGTCCTGCTGGACACACTTTGGCTGATGCAGAATTTTTGGATGCAAAATGTGACCAGCCTGTGTTCATGGCATGGGCATTGCTGGGGATCTCAGCCAAAATTAGTGCCCAGGTGTGCTGGCTGTTGGAGTAAGGCTCGGGGTGTTCACTGCTCTGAATGCTATAAAGCCCAGGAACTTTGGGTAAATTGTAGTGGATGATATCCTTGAACAGGAATTTGACTTTGCTTCCAATTTTCTGCAGTGTTCAGGTGTAGTTAAACAGCTACAGATACTCTCTTCAGAACAGAACTTAAAGCATTCCTTTAAAAGCAGTGCTGAAAGATGACCCCGTGTAAATTTTTTAATACTGTGCTTATTATGGTAACTTGAGCATTTTCT